AGGGCACCCGTATACACTCAGCTGCGAATTTGGTCTCTCGCGGGCGCGATCTTTTTTCACTTTGAACGGTTATAAAAGTCGATTATCGTATGTGGGATCTCGAACGATTTATATATTTTTTATATCTCTTCAATTCCCCATAACGACTTTATTCTTGACTCCAAAAAGGGAGGCGGTTATAGTATACATACTATTTTTTCTATGATGAATGATTCTAATCATATATAATTTAAAAAAATTGAAATTTTATATATTTATAATTCTAATGAAATTAAAAGATTTATATAAATTTTTTTAAATAGTATTAAATAAATAAATATTAAAATATTTAATTAATAATAAAAAATTATTATTTTTCTTGAACATTCAATATTTTACAGATTAATTTTGTGAATTAATATTTTACGATTGAATTTAATATTTTTTATTAGTGAATTATTTTTAATAATCATAAATAATTATAATGAATAGTATAATTGTAAACAATGTACCGAGTTATTTTTTTGCAAGTGATCACGTGTTAGTGTATACACAAGTAGATTATTAAACTTGATAGTGTTCATCTCAAGGGTCTCATTTATATTACGCCCTATTGTTAAATCTCTGCATCAATATCATTTGAAGGGAAGTCACTTCCGTCGTTTTCGTTACAATTTACATCCGAAAGGGTTTAGGGACAGTTTAAGCATCATATGGATAAGGATGATGCATGAATTAAAATCTTCTCGTTATGTCCCTCGAATATTTCTTTGACCTCATGCAGAGAAGATCCTCCCTGGTCATAGATTGGCACGCGTGAACGCGATATAAATTTTGCAATTTTTAAAAATCACCCTTCTTCCGTCATAGGGGTCACTATTCTAATTCAATGAGTAATTAATTCATCGCGACGTCTCTATCTAGGTATATATATATATATATATATATAAACATTTCACTTAATATCCTACTGTCAGGAATATTTTAAATAAATTCTTGTTTTTTTATTTTTCTTTCGTTTTTTATTACATGGGGCAAATTTGTAAAATTTTTTATGAATTTTTTTAAATAAGTTTTTAAAGTATCGGATGTAATGATGTGTTTTGATGAATGAAGTTGTTTTAATTTTTTTATTCTATTGTTTGCATTTTTTTTTATGATTATTATTATTATTTGAATTAGGCTTTGAAATACACGTGACTTGGTTTTGTAGTTTGTAAATCCGTGTAACTGTATACGCTATAGATATGTAGAGGGGTTATCAACAAATGTGTTCAAACATATAGGGTGCCACCGAGACGAAAACAGAAGGTTGGTACCCACCATTCCCTATATGTCAACAAACCAGTCCGTAATCCTTTCACAGAACGTGATACTGATGTCCTTATAACCGTTGATAATCAATTTTCAAATGACTTCTTAATTTAACTTTTGTGCAAATATTTTTGCTTTTTGACGACTATTAAATATTCAATTTGTTTTTTAATTTAACAAACATTTGATTGAAATACCATAAATGTGTAAATAAATAACATTTTTTTCTAGAGTTTAAAATACTGCAATAGAATTATTTATAAAAATATAATTTTTTTTGAAATAAAAACTCCTTTGGACATTCATAGATTTCAATCGTTTTTTTTTTCTCTCTTTCTCTCTCTTTTGAAGGAGAATGTCTCCTGTCAATTTATAGGCTATCGTCTTTTTCAAATAAAAGTGAAGGGTTATATTGTGGTCCTGAACAATCAGCGCACATTTTGCATTTTCTCCAGGGCCGAAAAGACATTCGACCGCAACATTGCCGGCTATGAATTGACAATAGACCCTTAACAAGCGCTTCGTGATGGATCGGGCAGATTTCCACATATAGTTTGAAGCACGCGCCTCACTTTAGTACAAAAGCGACACGGAAATCCGATTCAGGGTCGTGGACCTTCTTTCCAAAATTTTCCCAAATCCAACCAATCAACCATCAGTACGATAACGGAAAATTGTCAAACTACCGATTGACATGACGAGACGAGCCTTCGAAAAATCACATCCTCCCACTCACACTATATATGTATATGGACGTATGCTCGATTTAAAAAGAATTCATAACGTATAATATGTATACTCGAAATCAGATCTCGTTCGAATAATCGTATATATATATATATATATATATATATATATATATATAAGAGAGAGAGAGAGAGAGAGAGAGAGAGAGAGAGAGAGAGAGAGAGAGAGAGAGAGAGAGAGAGAGAGAGAGAGAGAGAGAGAGAGAGAGAGAGAGAGAGAGAGAGAGAGAGAGAGTTCAGAAAATCAGTTCGAATTTTGACAAAGCTATATATAGATCGATCGAGGTGTCGATTCGTATTTTATAAATGAAAAGCAAAAGAAGTGTTTGAAACTCATGTATAGAAAGTGAAAGAATGCTTTTCTGCGAAGTCACATACACTATATCTTTGAACCTTTATAGTGGGTTTTTGTATACCTTTTTTCTGCAACTCATTCTGTTTCGGCACACGCCCGATTGAAATAACAACATGGTCCAGATCATTCAAGTCCTCTAGAAGTCTATTAAATAAATTACTATCTGCCAAAAAGGATAAAAGTTTCTATTGACTGCGTATAATATACGTAACTCAATATGGGTGCTGATCAGGATTAAAGAAGCATATGTGTATATACGGTTGCGTGATTTGAGATTCTAATAATGAGATCAGAGAATTCAATCAAATTCCCATAAGGATAATTTGTCAATTATTTTTCTCATGCATTCTATCAATTATAATTAATGTGATTTAATTCTCTTATTATTTACATCATTTTTATTTTTAAATTGAAATTATAATATTCTATTTTTTTTAATTCAAAGATATTTTGAAGTTAATTTTATTTCTATTAAGAAATATAAAGTTAATTATTTAATTTGTACTTAATAAAATGAAAATATTTATATACATTCTTCACACAAAGGGATACATTTGTTTTCTTTTGAAGATATGTATTTTCCCGGTCCCATAATTATTAAATTTTAATGTTTTTTATCGCATCGCGTGTAAAGAAACTTTGACAAGAAAACCCTATCGCTGATGAATTAAAACTACTATAAAAGGCTTGTCAAACGGTAATCATCCCCTATTATGTAACGTCACCCCTAATGCATTCTCTGCCTCTGACTCGTGTGAACTCTGCGGAAAAGATAGGAAGATAGGTTTGGATGTAGTGGAAAATAATACCGGTAAATGGTAAACTGATCGGTCATGTCATGCCTTATTGGCCCGTCAAACCGCCCACATAGGTCATACGATTAGCGTACAGATTCCCATGAAAAATCTTTCAAATCTCTCACGATTTTTGCAAATTCAATATCCACAAGGATAGTATATAATCTCGTGCATATAAGTTTTTCCCTTTCATATATATATATGTACTTTTTTTTAGGGTTCTTTTTTTACATTCACTCATTCCTCATCCATTCTTTCAAAAACTCTACACTGTAAAAAATTTTTAGGAGTTAATGTCAACCGCGGAGTTGGGAATAAAGTTTTGGAGTTAAAATTCAACTTCAAAAGTGAGTTAACATTAGATTAACTCCCTTTTTTCAACTCCAAAAGAGTGCGACTTTTATAGAATATTTATTAAATGTATACTATATAAAATTTGGCTAAATGGAAATTCTCTAACTAATATTTTTTGATATATGAACGATTTTTTTAATTAACCCTTTCAGTGTCAGTGACCCAACGTTGGGTCGTGAACATCTTGTTACAAAATATATACAATTTATTATATAAATTGCAAAATTATATTTTTTACATCATCTTTAGCATACAACAGATATCACTGACTTTAGTTTTTACAATAATTATGTAATTATTTATTAACTAATGTTAATTATAACAATTAGAAAACAAGTAAAAATCACGAAAAAAAAATTATTTTTTGATTTAACCCACATTTAGGGTATAAGGGTTTTCGGAGTCGTAGAATTCGAATATTATGTTAAATTTTCAAAATTCAAAATAGCGGATTCAATATGGCGGACGATTTTTTTAAAAATTCAATCCAAATGGCTTGAAATTTGTTACTCGGGGGTTTTTGTGGTCGCTGATTACGAATCTAAGCTTACTTTTTCCAAAAAACACGCTTACTTGTTACTCGGGGGTTTTTGGATTTTAAATTTTGACATCAGATTTGAATTCAGCGACCCTAAAAACCTCCGAGTAACAAATTTTGAGCAAACTCCGGTTGATTTTTTTAATTTTTGTCCGTCATATTGGATCCGCCATTCTGAAATCTTGAAAATTAACATTAGATTCGTAATGAGTGGCCCCCAAAACCCCCGAGTAACAAATTTCAAGCTAATCCGGTTAATTTTTAATTTCTTTGGCCGCCATCTTGGATCCGCCATTTTGATTTTTTTTTAATTCCAAATTTAAATTCAACGACCTCATAAACCCTTATACACTGAAAAAAAACTAATAGATTTGACTATACTGTTTAACTACTCTGCCTAGTACAATAGGTCCTTAATTAAATTTAAAAAGTTGTAATAACTATAAAAAAGTAGTTAAAATAACTAAGAATGTAGTTGGCAGAACGAGATTTTGTAGTTGTTTCAGTTTTAGTAATTGATTCAACTACATTTTTTAGTAAACGGAACTGCTAATTATTAACTACATATAAAAAGTAGTTCAATTAATTACACACAAAATTAAACTAACTAAAAAAGTATAGTTATTTTCCAGTCAACTATCCAACATTAGTTGAAGATTTCAGCTAAATTTTTTTCAGTGTATATTAAGTTTTATAAAAATCTGTAGGCCAGAATTTGCTGGATATTTTGGGATCACATCATGAATTTTTTCGCAAATACGGAAAGGGTTAAGTTATTAATTATATGATAACTTAAAAAATGTTAAATCGCTTAAGTTTTTAAATTGATAAATTATTATTATAATAGAGTCTTAAAAAATATTTTATCAAATTCCAATAATACTTATTAAAATAATCTGTACTTTTATTTTTTGCAGTACAAGATGGATGAAGTTGGAAGTAGAAATTTCACTAGGTAAGTCCTAACCTCTATCTCTTATCGAAAATACATGCGTGACCACGACGACCACCTGGTGGATGCGATCACGTGTCAAAAACTGGTGGTCACGTGTCTAACTTTACAATATTCCCCTAAGATTTAAGACCTGAGCAGAATAGGAACGTAACGGGAATCATAATCGCAAACGCAACCGGAAGAATGAGTTAGAGAAGGATAAACATATTGTTTGTCCTTCTCCAACTCATTATTCCGCGGGTTATTGCGTTTGCGGTTACGATTCCGGTTACTATTCTGCTCAGGCCTTTAGGGCGATTTTATCTATAATGGCTTTTAACACTCATCTTTTAAAATGTTATCTTTTGAAATTGTAATTTCATTAACCATTAACTTCAATTTTGTTATAAGTTGTACAAATGAGAAATAAGCGAATATTTCATTCATATATAAAAAATTTACATTTCTTTTGATTTTTCGTTATTTGATACTAATATTGCAATTTAGTGAAATGGAGTTAATTTCCAAAATCCTACAATTTTGATATGGCGATTTAATCTCTATATATATATATTGCGAGATGAACATGATGTTTAAGCAATGCGAAAACAATAAATCATTATCTCGCTGACGAGTGAAGTGCACCACATATACATATATATATATATATATATATATATATATATATATATATATATTTTCTATTGTCATTGAAACAAATGTATCTTCGTACGCCCAAATAAACCAATATTTAAGCGTTTCCCATGGATATGTATATAAGCGATTTCGTACAAGGACCTACTCCATTGACAGCATGGGGGTACGGGTGCGCACATATACATACCCCCTGCAGCGACGAGCAATACGCTACCAGTCTATATAAGTGCCCCATAAACATCCCGTTCGCGTTATATACACTCAAACTTCAAGTATGTCGTGTGAATACTATGTCAATGAGCACCTTGAGAGTGCCCCGCGAGTAAAATCGAATCCTGATGAGTCTTCTCAACAAAAATTTTATTTTTGACCTTTAATATTTTATAAATTATTATATATATGCAATTTTAATTTTTCAAAATTCGTCTAAGATTTAATTGACACTTAAGAGTAATTAATTTAAATTGCAGTTAATTTAAAAGTATCAAAGTGATACCAAATGTAGTATAATTTGATATAAAAATTTTGATAAATTTGATATTTTATTGTGAACACAAACTTGTGTAAAAATTTATCGATGAGTTTTAATATGAAAAAAAAACTATCAGCGTAAGTTGCTGATTTTAAGACCCATTTGTCTTAGATTCTTAAATTTAACTCATTTGAAGAATAAAGAATCATTTCAACTCCATAAGTTTTCTCAAGTCAAGAAAATATTTTCTTGAGTTAATATATATATGATCTTGACTTAATATATTTTACATTTCTTAGAAGTCAATAAACTTCTTAGACGAATTCCATATTTTCTTGGATCAAGAATATATGCTCTCGTCCCAAATATACTATCTCAAGACAATCGTTTACTTGAACCAATGCCGTAATTGACTTGTCCCTCTTCAATTCCACGGTTTACTTGAAGCAAGTAAAATTTTCTTGATTCAATACTATTTTTTTTCAGTGTACAAATTTTGAATTTGAAATTTTTAAAATTTTTCGAGATATTTACAATAACAAATTTGAGCAATTTTTTTTTTGCTTTACTTATAACTTTTTTCCTATTAAAAATAGAGAAAAATGTAAATGTTTTTTACGCTAAAGATCTTAAACTTTTAGAAAAGAATTATTTTTTTAAAAAGTATTAATTTTTAAACAATTTGTTTAAAAAATAAAATTTGTTTATAACTTTTAAACATGTTCTCCCTCATTTAGAAGCGCGAAAAAAATCATGAATATTGTTTAAGTCATTATAAATTGATGGTTAAATTTTTGAGATGGCATTATTTTTTGTTTTCGAAATATTAATTAATTAACTAAACAAAAGTTATAAAAATAAAATAAAATAAATAAATAAATAAATTAAACAAATTGTTTAAAAATTAATATTTTTTTAAAAAAATAATTTTTTTCTAAAAGTTTACGATCTTCCGCGTAAAAAACATTTACAACATTTTTCTCTATTTTCAATAGGAAAAAAGTTATAAGTAAAGCAAAAAAATATTGCTCAAATTTGTTATTGTAAATATCTCGAATAATATTAAAAATTTCAAATTCAAAATTTGTACACTTATTTAGCATCACTATCACTACAATTTACCGAATTTTGAGAAAAATCCGAGACATGACCCTGTATTCTCATATGAAATGCCTCAATAGCCATTTTAATGAATTTTTATTAGATAGGAATTCCCAACTAACCGCCGATTTTTCATACCACAGAATTTATATACTTAACCTAAAAATTATTTAATTGAATTTCTAATTGATGGAATAAATTTTTATTTACCTGAAATTACAAATGGTCGAACAAACAATCGACAGAAAGATTTCGGCGCGATTTTTAAAATCAATCAATCAAAAATTATCCATAAAATTGTGATTGGTTTCTTTTAAAAAACGCGTTGAAATCTTTCTGTTTGTTTGTTCGGCCATTCGCAATTTCGGACAAATGAAAATTCTATCAATTAGAAATTCAGTTAAATAATTTTTCGATTAATAAGCATATAAATTCTATAACATGGAAAATCTGCGGTTAGATGGGAATTCTATATCAAATGAAAATTTATCTAAAAGATAATTCTATGCAATGAAATTCAATCTAAAAAAATTCATTAAAAAGGCTATTATAATAAATGAAAATTCAAGCAAATAAAAATTCTGTGAAGTGAATTTTCGGTTATATAAAAATTCTGTAATATAGTAATTCGATTTAATGAAAATACATATTGCAAAATAATAATTGGACGAATAAATAAAATTCAGTTCAATGAAAATTGTATCTAATGCACCGAAAAAAAGTTCTCAAATTTAGAGGATTCCTCTTCTTTTGCAGCAACTTTTCCTTTTATATATGGGCACTAAAGTTTTCATATCTAATTGAGAGGATTTTCCTCTTTTATATTTTGAAAGGAATAATTTCAAATAAAGATTTATTCATCTTGTTTCAAACTTACGTCAAATTCAGAAATGTCAACCTTCTTTACAGGGTTAAAAGAAATTTATGATTTAATTTACTCGTTATTACTCGGATTAAGTAATTTATAATGAAAGCAACCATTTTTGGAGAAAAAATATAGACGGCGAAAACACGAGCTGAGTTTTTATACAATAAAGTACCAAAGATTTTCAGGTTGTTAAAAATGTTTTTAGTTTTTGTTCATTTTAAAATAAAGTGCTCAGTATTCAAGTGAAAAAAAGTTAATGGATTATTTAAATCAAAGTAAATATATTTTTAAAATAGTGTAGAGGTCAAATTGATGAAATAATTAATTCTGATTTGAATATTATTAAATTCTAACCCTAGAAAAAATAGGGGTTAAACAGATCGCATTGTTGATAAATTATAATAAATTTATCACAGTTTTTAATATGAATAGAAATAATTTTTTATACATTAAAACCTTAATTTTCAGTGAAAAATTTGTTAATTAAATAATTAATGTAGAAAAGTGATTTTATGAAACAAGATCTCTATTATTTATTTATTTTTGAAATATTAATTGGACACAATACATTTTATTTTGAACTGTCACTTTTCAAACAGTTTGAAGATGCGCGCAACAAAACAAAATGAAACTATAAAAATCTTTTTTACAGCATAAATTTGTTTCATTTTGAGAGGAATAATTTCAATCATAGAAAAAAAAATCTTAAATGCAAATGAATAAATTCAATCAAAGAGAAAATATTAAAAGTTATCATTTAATAAAAATATTCTCAAATAAAGAAGAAAAATCCTCCTTTTTGTAGATGAATATTCGTATATTGAAAATAAAATGTAAAAGTAATTTATGAGCGGAATTTTCTTCTCATTTGGAGATTTTATTTTTTTCGGTGTGAAATTCTATATTAAATGAAAATTCTAATAATTGATATTTAGAACTTATTTATGTGTTCCGATGTATCTTATAAGATGTCTTCTTTTTACAGTGCAATTGAAAATATAGGATTCCTTTCATCTCTTAAAATAAGCCATCATTTGTTCGGTGACTGTAAAAAATATCTAATTTCTTTATAAAATTTATTTAAATTAAGGTTCAATAGAGTCTGAATTTTATATGCTTCGTAAATATATAATACTAAATTTTGACTCTATTTAGTCAAACTATTAAGAGTCCTCAAAGATTCGTTTAGTTCCGGAACATTATTTACTTGGAATATAATACAAATACCGGTGGTACAAATGAACGGAATTAAGGGGCTTTTAGAAGTACGTACATGTCGAATAGAATGGCAAGGGTAGATAACTTTCGGGGGATCTTTTGAGGGTGGAGAGTTGTGGAGAGTTGTTGAAGAAAACATGTGAGGGGTGATCTTTGATTGGTGTGGGAAGATTCAATGTCACTTAAAGCATTACCCTGACTATGAATTTTCCATCTGAGAAATCACCTTTTATTCTTTTTTGTATGAAAGATACAATTCATATTTCTACACTAAACTCGAGAGAAATGTTTTATTTGAAACGAACGTATTATACTGTTTTTTTTCTTTTATATAAACACTTTATTTAACAAGAATTTATTAGATTTTAATAAAACTGTTGGTTTATTTTCAATAATTTTTTTAAATGTTGAATTAACCAATTTGATTTATTGAATCAAATATGCTTGCATTGAAAAAAAATATATATGTAGTAAGAAATTTTTATAAGTATAGAGTAGAAATTTTAATAAATATGTTACAATTTAGGGAAAATATGTCAAAATGAAAAAAAAATTGGTATAAGAAAATATTAAATCTCAGAAAAGAGTAATTATAATTATTAAAAATTGTTCGTAAATATTTACTAAGATCTGAAATACATTTATTAAAGATTGAAATTTTCAGAACACTTTTTATGTCCATATTTTTGAAACGTTTTCCCTAAATTGTAAAATATTTACTAAAATTTCTACTATCCTTTTTGAAATTTCTCAAATATTTTCTTTCAGTGTATAGTTAACGAAGCTGAAGTACGCAACGTTTATATAAACGATTTTTAAAGAAATAATTTTTTAAAATGAAAAATTCTATAATTTTTTGCCTAAAAAATATTTTTTTATAATTTGTTGATTAATGAAAACTACAAGAAATATTTTTTAGGCAAAAAATTATAGAATTTTTCATTTTAAAAAATTATTTCTTTAAAACTCGTTTATATAAACGTTGCGTACTTCAGCTTCTTTATAGTTAAGTCAATGCATTTATTATAGATTAACTGACTAACCGAATTTGTAACAGAGATACCTTCTTAAATTTTATATACAATTTTTAATGTTATAATTTATAAAAGCTTTATTCATTTTTTTAAATTTTATATTTATAAAATTTAGTCGATCAACGAAAAGACATTGCGATCTAGCTGACCAGATCATATTATATATACTTATATGTAGATTAATGGGAGATTATTTCGGGAGTATATCAAAGCCTGTTTATCTAACGGGTGTCATAAACATACCCCTCGTGACCTCTCGGTGTCTATTGTTTCGGTGAACATACAAAGCCACAAAGCAGTTTCTCTTCATCGTGTGCGTTAGACACCTATTAATGCAAACACGCTCACACTTATCTAGAAATCATAGGAAAGTTAAGCCAGTTGATTCAGGATGTTTCCAGAGTTTGGTTGTAAGATGTTTATCTTGTGGCGATGATGAGGTTAAGCGTTCCAATGCTGTGATGTGTGCTTCCATTTTATACACGGACAGATATATTAGTAAGTCCACCTATAGTAGAGCGATTTATGCCCCGTACCTATAAAAATTTAGGATTTAACTAGGTTTAATTAAACCAATTAAAAGTCTGCCCTAAGTTGTAATGTACACCGAATTATAAAGTGACGTTTTCTCCCTCTCTTTAATTTCTTTAGTTATGCCTATTGCACTTTCAGTCTAAATTTTTAGATGTATCACTGTTTTTTTTTTATTTTTTTTTTTATTTTGATATATATCTGTCTCTGACACTTTCCATTTTTGGTAATTTTCATCCTTCTTCATCTTCCTTTTAACTGGAAATGCCTTTCATATAATTGATGTAATGAGTTAGAATTAGAATGCCTGGAACTGAAAAAAATGTAATTATCTCAATTAATAAAAATGAACGTCAAAAGAATCTTTAAATTCAAAAAATACATTTTTTTCTAAATTTAAGAAGTATTTTTGAAAAATTCTAGCAATTTTTCTGAAAGCTTTCAGTAACCTTTTAAAAAGCTCTTGTAACACTTCATATAGGAAACTTGCAGCAATCTTTCACAGCAAGCTTTCCGAAATCATTCGCATTAAGTTTGCAGCAATTTTTCATGGCAAGTTTACAACAACCTTTCACGGAAAGTTTGCTATGGATGGGATATTTTGCTATTTTAGAAAAGCTTGCGGCAAGCTTGACAAGCTTGCATGGTAAGTTTGCAGCAACCTCCCGTGTGCTATCTGAGATGTTTTTAATTTCTTTGGTGTATTACGTAATTTTAGTGCGGCTATTCTGATCAAAACATTTTTATTGTCTTAAAATACTGTTTAAATACACTTACTTAAACAGAATAATCATAATTTATTGTCTGAGATTTGTTTTTATTTATAGTTTTGAGTTTAAATTTTCTTCTTCGTAGATTCCAGGAAACCAACATTTCCAATAAGTTCCTCCCAGTGCCTGTATTTTCTTAACAGTCATATTCCGTGGATAACATAAAACTGAAAGAATAATTTTTTTCTTTCAATGTTACATTTAGGGACATTTAAATCATCATTATTGTACGATTTAAAATGTTAATTGTCAATAGTACAATAGTGAATGATACACATTTTTTTTCTCGGAATTTACTTAAAACTTTTGGTTTTGAAAAATATGCACACGAAGAAAAATGGAAAAACGAATAAAGTATAACTTTTACTGTACTTTAAAAGTAAAACCGTAATTGCACAGAAAAAACCTTGTCTCATTTTTGATGCAAATCAAAATGAGCCAATGCTAAACGACATAGACAGTGGCGCCACCAACCTGGTTCATTTTTGTTGCACATCAAAATGAGCCGCCTACACGGCTCATTCTGAGTTTAGTTTTTTTCTGTGTGTCCGCAGTTTCTCCGCATATCTATCAATTTTTACTCCAAAAATAGTAAAATTTACTATTCCAGGAGTAAATTTTACTATTTCTAGAGTAAAAATTGACAGAAATGCGCAGAAACTGCGGACAGTTCAGGTTTTACTTTTAAAGTAGTAAAAATTACTTTATTCATTTTTCCATTTTTCTTCGTGCATTAAATTTGTTTTTTTTTTAAATTATTATCATTCAACTTACTTTGAGCATCGTTTCTTGTTGGAAATATTAATTTTCTCTGCTCCTGACTCCAGACATAAAATATAAAACAAAACAACGAAATTATTTTTATATAGTACATTTTGTAGTCTTGTAAATTTAATTTAATTCGTTTATTTACAAATAAGGAAATTAAATAATAATTAAATTATTGAAATTTTTTAATTGTTTAATAAATATAAAATTATTCTAATATAAGATTAAAGCTGCACTTTACACTTTGCAGTCAGTCGTCTAACTAAATATTTTTCCTCGAAAGAACTGCTTAAGAATAACATTCTTTGTACATAATATTGTTCGCAAACAGGTTGTTAACTTTATGGTAAACAATCTCATAATTTTATGAGTATTGACAACCCACTTATTAAACAGAGACCTCGTCCACTACTATTCACGTTAGACGTTTCTTTTTTAGCCTCGACCTGTGATTGATTTATCTAGTCAGACAGTTATAAGTATAGTCATGCAGAAAATTCAAAGAGATGCACGTCTGAAGTGATTTTCAAACGGGAAAATTATTTTTCCCCTCAATTTATTCGTTATATGAACTGATAAAGCTTTTTTTATTTGCTTACTTTTAGTATGTGATTATGGTTTTTGAATGTAACAAAAGGAATAAAATCCCTAATGTATATAGAATTTGTTTTAATTCTTTTTAATTGATTTATTAATTTAATATAATTGAAAATTTTGGTTCATATATTTTTACAAAGTTAATCAACATTTTGGCGAGTTTAAATTTATTAATTTCAAAAATATTTTTTAAATTATCAAGATCTATTTTATATAATTCTCAGTACATATAAATAAATTGAACATTATTATCATGACAGAGACTTTTATATGAAATTGTATAATTAGGATGGCGCTTATGGAATTCATTGTTTGCCATATGTTGAAGAATTGAACCCCAATAAAAAGATGGAATCCACTCAGCGTAGAGAATTTATTCACGAGCCCGCTTTAATTTGTTTAACTGCCGTGTCGAAACTGTATCGAAGGACACTTTGTAATGTTTAAAAAGGGGCAAAAATTATGAGCTTCGTTCTTCTTCCTCATTGTCGGTGCCACTTTTTGATCGCACCCTTCCAGACTACTTTAAATGACACTCGACAAAAAACAATAAAGACTGCTCAATCTTTTCAAAACCCTTTCTTCTTCTCAAGAGTCTGTTTAATATTTTTTTCAAGGCGCTAAGAACTTATACATCTCCCTTAGAAAATTTATTCTTTTATTTAAAAAAAAATACTTGACAAGATTTATAAATTGTCCTTTTTTTGTTTCTTTTTTCTTGCAGTGTTTAAAGAATTTGATCTTGAGTTATCATTGTATTTTATTTGTTAAAATTGTGATTGTTTTAAAATTATCATTAATTGGTTGTGATTTTTTATATTTTTTAGATCAATTGACATTCATTTGTAAATTTCAGTTTTACTGATTCTTCGATATCATTTATTTGAATCAGAGTTCCGTAAAAGTGTACTTTGTTTCATTCATTCTTATTTATTTCGAAGGTCATTGATCTTGAAATTAAGAAGATTGAGTTAATGGCATTTATAATATCACCGAGAGTTTTTTTTTAAGTATACGCTTATAGACCTTAATTCTTAATCTCCGAAATTTTTGTCTAAATTTAATGTTAGTTTTTATACTTTAATTTCAACTAATTATTTATTTTATTACTTCTAATAGTAATAATTAATATTATCTAAGGAAAAATTGTTTATTTGACATTTTCTGTGCCTCGTTTGTCGTCCATCAATTCACATTAGGAAGTTTTATAATTTCTTTTATCCAACGTTGACACGATCAATATAATGAGTGAGAATTGAGTTAGTCCGAGTTTCGTGTACATATTAATTTAAGTTGAGGGTTAATAAATGAGAGACGATGCCACATTAAGAGGTGAATCATTAGGTTAACGTTTGAGATCTTCACTCTTTCCAGCCACGCTCGTAATAATTATCTTCTCACTGCGTTTAGATGGGGTAGATTTTTCAAGATACGGTGCGGTGCTCTGTCGCTCTCAATTACGATAGTATAACTATATATATAATTGTCCCTCTTTGCCTTCTTAAAAAAAAAAAATTCAGGATTTTTTCCATCATTTGTGTTCATTATATAAATGACGTTAAATGGACATTTTTATTTTATTCATAATAATAATAATAATAATAAATTTCAACTTTAAATAAATAAAAATTTTATTTTACATTTATATTTCATATACTTATAATTAAATTAGAATAAATTAATTTACAAATTAAGGAGGATGGTGACCGTAACATAATTTAACCGTAACCTATAGTTAGGTATATACAATGTTCAGAAAAAATTATGTTAAGTTAAAATGTTTTGTTCAAAAATTATAAAGAATACAAATTTTATATATGAAAAAATTACTATTGTAGAGAATGTTTAAATATGTAAAATAAGCTATTGTTTATAAAAATTTGATGATAATGGTTCATTGAAACGTTTAAGAGGAATTTGGCGAATTTTTGAGACGATTTTGAAAATTGAATATCCCTATATTGATCGACCAAATAATTAGCAACTTATCAGATTTCATATAAAGTGCAATTTAGTACCATACTGTTGATCGTTACGTTACCCCTTTTTCTCCATATGTCGTAAATACCTCAGACACGTGTAATTTATGCTCACTTTAAAAGCTCGACACCACATTACATCCATAAATGCTGAATTTAAAAGGTATTACTAAAAATTTACACTTTGCATCAAAAAGTATTCAAAATTCAATATAAAAGCTGAAACTTAACGTTCGTAACATTAGAAAAATAGTTATTTTTAGTACAACTCCGATATTATTGAAGCTATATTATAACCAAAGGTGTTTATAGCTTTTATAATAAAATTCGTATTAGGTACCTACTAATTTTTTTGGTTTAGAATTGACAAATTTTGTTATATTATTTATTTACTTTTATCATTGATACTCACTAAATATCAATAAATACACAATTTAAAAGCATAAAGTTTATAAAATTGTATTTTTTTGGCGTGAAAAGTAATATTTTTTATTTACGTTGTTGAATTCACAGAAATTTTATTTAAAAAAGAAACTCTTTCATATTTTACACTAATTACAGCGCAATGTGGGTGAAGGTATATACGAGCAAACTGATCAAGGGGGGGTCTAAATATATAGTAACACCAGTTGCACGACGACATAATCGCTGCAATTACGTATGGAAATTTCTGATTCATCAAACTATTTAGAGACCATCACATTTTACCACGTTGCCTTCACGGTTCACCGCCCACGGATCCCTAAATTTTTTTGAAGATTGTTAGATACGTAAACTTATTACTGTCAGTTAATCGCAGACGAATATATCCGATCCATCAAATGCGTATATATATATATATATATATATATATATATATATATATATATATAGAAACGACACAAAATTGAATGACACTCTTTTATATAATATATATACAACTTGTAAGATGACGCTATATATAGTATTTTTCTATTCGGCAATAGAATACCGAAAATTGATTGGTTTAAATCTTTATAGATCCCTTGAAAAATACACAACTCTCCGCATTGTGTTGGTTCAATGACACCATGTGAAATTTTTCTCTAAGTCAGATAAACTTTTGAAGCTTTCAAATATTTTTTTAATATTAATACAACAAAAACTGCAAAATTTCTCGTGTGAAATTTTATTATTTAATTAAAACTTTCCTGAGGCGAAATTTAAGGTCTACTTTTCTAGGAGTAAAGTAGAGTTAAACAGACCCTCTTTAGCTGCCTGGAATGTGCGCAAATTTCCCTTTGTTCCACGTTTGGATTCAAAGTAGGGCATAAAAATTGATTAAATAATTGAAAATTTTGAAATTGCTCTAAATCTATTAATTTTTTTACAACGCTTCAAAATCGAACTAGACCCTTTTTAGCTTGCTCAACCAGTCTTTTATCAGCATGTGATTGTTAGGTCCACAATGTTAATTTTTTTGATCACAACGTTTATGATCAACTATTTTTAAAGAATTTTTTTTTTTTTTTAATTAAAAATTCCATGAATTTTTGGCTGGAAGATATTTCTTACAATGTTTATTGATAAAAAAAATTATAAAAATATTTGTTTAGATAAAAAATTTTATAATTTTCCGTTTTAAAAAATATAATTTGTTTTCTAATTGTTGATCATAAACGTTGTGGACTTTAGCATCGACTAACAATCGTATGTTGTTAAGACCTACTTTGAATCTGAATTTATAGGATCTGTTAGGTTTTAGTATTTTGTTTTCAAATTTTAGGGTCTAGAAGTATAAGTACAAAAAATCATTCATAACTTTCAATAACTATAGACCCTAATTTACGCCTTTTCATGGAAGTAAGTGAAATTTCCGCTGATGTTTTTTGAAGTCAATAAAGTACGTCGCGTCAGTTTTTTTTAACCAAAATGTAAAATTTTCTTGAAGTTAAGATATAATTCTAATAATAAAATTCCATCCACATGAAATTTAAACTAATGAATTTTAGGAAATATTCATAATATGCGCGTCTCCTTTTGTTTCTTAACAGACGGAATTCAATTTCATTATTCTTCGAGATTAGATTGAATTTATATTATATATATATTCGTAAGATGAGTATTGTCAATGGTAAATATTTAATTCCAAGACGTACAAGTTTGTTTTTACGGAGAATAACAACTGCATGTGAAATGTGCGCCGAAGAAATTCTTATATGTCTCCTGAACCATTATCGCAAGGAGAGTTCCTCGAGCTCTCCTGAAGGAGCGATGGTGCATCAATAGAAAGATGATCTTAAGCAATTCAAAAGGGGTCCAAGTTCTTTTGTGCCAAAGCATGTCTGTCGCGATGCCGAGTACGGTTGTGGTTTTGGGTTACCGTCACCGTGTGTGGCGCCTCAGGTGTCTTCGATCTTTTCATAGGCAAATTTATACACACAATTCATAGTGCTTTCATAGGCGTTTACTTCAACGCTTCTCTTATTCTTTTCACTGGACCCATTCCTAAAGAGAAAAGTCTCGACCCTTAACAATTCATGCATTACTAAACAGAAATGTTACTTTTTGTCATTCTTATGAAAATATCTATATATTAATTCAAATAACTTAATAAGAATATGTTGTCATGAATAGGGCAATTATTTTTTGTATATCCTTTTTAATTGTATTTATTGAATTATATATATTTACAATTTAAGAATATTTTCATT